ATGCAATTTGTCTTGTATTAGACTAAGATGGTTGTTCATCTCTGGGACTGCTTAAGTAGCTTGTCCATGGAGAGCTAGGTTCACCTCAGCCTCATGGTTCAGTAATAACAAACACAGTTCCTATTGAGTGCTGACTGTATAGAGGGCACTGTGCTGACAGCTATGCAGACATGATCTCATTTAGTTTTCCCCAAAACTCCATGAGTGTGTGTGGGACACTGTGATTCCTTACATTCCAGAAGGCGCTGAAGAGCTCTCCATTTCTGTTCTCACAATTATTAGGCACATCTATAGAGTCCAGGAGGAACTTGGGCATCTTGTAAGCTTTCAAGCTTAGCAAGTGGATGTAAAAATGAGGACCACAGAGCATATTTCCTCAGGGCAGCTTTCCCTGAACACTTTCCCCCCTCCATTCTCCCCACTCCCAATTAAGTCAGATCTCTTTGTTATAAGTTCTCCTAACAATATACAATTCCATTCCAGCACTCAGCAGTTTGTAATTATATATTAATTGCATAATTACTTGTTGGGTCTGCCTCCTTACTAGATAGTTAGCTCTATGAAGCCCAGGCATTGTGTTTATTTTGCTTTCTATTCCCCTAAGCCCAGTGCCTAGTGTATTCCATCTACTCCATAAATATTTATTGAATAAGTGCTTGGCGTATAACTTTGTCTTTCTGTTGATATTCCTGTTGATATTCCTGATATAAACTGAAGCGGGTATGAGACTGACATGGGAGGGAAACTGTGGGTGTTCAGAAGGTTTTATAAGCAGGTGAAATGCCATGGCTGGCACAGATAGGTGAGCCAGCTGGGAGGAGTTTTATATATTGGAGGGAAAAATACTTTCCAACTAAAAATACAAGCATCTTTGACAAGTAGATAACTTGAATTTGCTGCCTGATTTTATGCTTTTAGGTTTGAATGTTTTATAGTTCTGTGTTTCATATTCCTTTCCTCTACTCCCTTAGTTTGAAGTACCATGAAGCGGTTTGAGAATAGACACGTAATTAAGAGACACTATCATCATGGGTTCTAAGAGAATGTTATATGGAAAGTAGCTTTGCAGAGACCAGAGTTACATTAGGACTGAGCATCTTTATTATGGTAACTTTGGTTGATGCTTTACAGTTTATGAAGTTTTCAGATAGCCTGATTCACAAAGATGTCTTGTGAAGTAGACAGCTCAAAATTATGGCTCTCTGTTTATAGATGAGGAAAGGAAGGCTCATAAGAGGTTTATTTACCCATGTTAAAGTGAAAATAAGTACAAATGAACTTTTTTTTTAGGGATTATTGTATGTTGAGGCACTATACTAAGCCCTTTATAGAGGATATAATGTGATACTCGGCATATTCCTATGAGATAGGTAACCATTATTATTTCCATTTTATAGATGAGGAAATTGAGACTTGGAGAGGTCAAGTAATTGCCTTACATTACATAATCAAGAAGCAAAGGGACAGGCTTCAAATCTAGCTAGTCTGTCTTGAGAGGGCACATGATAAACCACTATGCTAATGGCAGCATTGAGAGTTCTTTCATGAGTACACTGTGTTATTTGCTACCTATAGTTGCAAATACAAATAGGACTCCTGGTTTATTTCTGCTACTTCAGGCTGCTATTTCTTTTTTGACTTGTTTGCAGTTTCACCTTGACTTAGAATTTATCAATTGGAGGCCACAATGATGTCACTGCACATGATTGAAATTATATCAACTAAGTTCAGATAAAAATCCCCCACATTTATAATTTAAAAAAATAATTAGGCCAGGCGCAGTGGCTCAAGCCTGGAATTCTAGAATTTTGGGAGGCCGAGGTGAGAGGATTACCTGAGCCCATGGGATTTGAGACCAGCCTGGGCAACATGTAAGACCTCGTCTTTACAATAAATAATAAAAAAAAAAATTAACCGGGTGTGGTAGCATGTGCCTATAGTTCTGGCTACTTGGAAAGCTGAGGCAGAAGAATTGCTGGAGCCCAGCAGGTCGATGCTGGGTTGACTGTGAGCGTACCACTGCACTCCAGCCTGGTCGTCAGAATGAGACTCCAACTCAAAAAAAAAAAAAAATCATTGAATATATTTACTGATTTTATTTGTTAGAAGTGCTTATCTAATACTCACAGGACATGTTCTATTGAATATATTGGTAAAACTTTTACCTTTCTCTGAAGGTATATAAAACATTAAGCATTTTTTTTAAAAAGCTGTCAATGAAAACATATGATTATGAGTTCTTTTTAGGTTATCTCTTCAAGGAGGTAACAATGACCAATAATGACCAGCATATTTTGTGTCCTCTATATATCCAAGTCTCTCCTCCCTGTGGGTTCATACTTTGTATTTGAAAAAAGAACATGAAAATGCCAAACTTTGTAGCTCAAAAGAACAATAGCAACACCATCACCAAGCCCTTGCATAGAGATCTAGATATGAAAGTGAAACAACCACAATTTTAGGCCTGTGCACAGAGCTGTGACCCAGGCTAGACACCTGAGGTCAATGAGCAGAGCTTGGTGCAGAGGGTCATTTATATGTCTTTTGAATATCACTGACTGCATTTCAAAGCCACATTAGAAACAACATTACCCGGGCTCAGTGGCTCAGCCTGGGATTCCACACCTTTGGGAGGCTGAGGTGAGTGGATTGCCTGAGCCCGCGGGTTCGAGACCCGCCTGGGCAGCGAGATCTCATCTCTACAATAAATCAAAAAAATCAGCCGGGCGTGGTAGTGCATGCCTATAATTCTGGCTACTCGGAAGGCTGAGGTGGAAGGATCGCCTGAGCCCAGCAGGTCGAGGCTGCAGTGGCCGGGAGCGGCCACTGCACTTCAGTCTGGGCGGCAGAGTGAGACTCCAACTCAAAAAAAAAAAAGAAAAAGAAACAGCACTGGCCTATGTTTGGTTTTTTGTGTTACCTGTGTTTCTTGCCCTATTATGGATAATTGAGTTTTAATATACAGTAGTGATAGTCTAGTAGATGAAGGAAGGGGGCAGTCCCCAAGGGCAATCTGAACTTCTGCTTAGTATATTTACTCTTGCTGTTTTCCTTCCTCCTCATTTGTAATTCAGGAGGCTCTCAGAAGAGAGACAGCAAAGCTTAGATGGATCGAAGGACCAGGAGCTGGGATACCAGGTTCTATGAAAAGGTCTGCTATTGAATTTGCTCTGCTACTTTTAGGCAAATCATTTGCTCACATTGTGCTTTGGTTGCTTCCTGTTCTTGTTGAATGTAAATAGCATGTATTTGGGTATTTTGCGATTATTATAGAGTATTTTAAATATATGAGTGACTTATTGTTTTCTGGATGAGCAGGTATAAAGCAAAATCTGCTCCCTTGAGATCTAGGCTTCGTGGCAGTCAGCTAACCCCAAATTCTTCTGACTTCAACAGTTGTCTACTTGCTTCTTGTTCACCTGACACATTTTGCAGTCTCTGAGCTACAGCTTTGCGGGCTTACTCTATACTTAGGGACATACCTTTTTGTTTCCTGACTTCAGAAATTAAATATGCCATTTCATGCACTTCTGCTTTCACCTTCCACTTCAAAAAGTTGAAAGTTTTCTTTTGGAACAGTGTAGTTTTATCTGTGACACTGACCTCAATAGACAGGGGAGAGGTGACAGAGTAAACAAATAGTTATTGGGACTGCCTCTATGGTTTCTTTTTGATGATTAGGTCTGGGAGCACTAAGGGTCTGAACTAGATTTAATAAGGCACAGGCTCTTTGGGGTTTTGGCAGAAACATACAAGTATACCCTCCCATGTCCCCCCCCCCTTTTGTTACAGCCTATGTGACATTAGTCAACAAGATATCCCTGTTAGTCAAAGTGGCCACGCTGACATTCTTAGAAGCTAATAAAAGTGTTCATGTTAAGAATGATTTTGTTACCTATCTGTGGAGCACCACCCCTACTATTTCATAAATGAAAATCTCTCAAGTGCAATATGGAATTAACGAAAAGGTTTATTTCTTTTGGTTTGGACTAAAATAAATTGTACTTATATGATTTCTGGGGCAGTTAAATTAAAAACCTAGGAAAGTATTATTACAGTTAGAGGCCCTACGAAATATGTTACTCCTTAGTTGCAACTTGGGCAGCAGCAGGAAGAACTGCAGACACAGGAACACAGAGTCACCCTTCAGTTTTGAAGCGTTGCTAGGTCTCCTCGTGCTATAAATGATCAAAGAAACATCCGGGTAAATACTGCTCCCAGAGCGGAGTTCGCTTTAAGAGTGTTGGGTTTAACTTCCGTGAGCTAGTTCAAGGCAGCCAGGGATTCTATTTTGGGGTCTTCGTTCTTGGGCTCGGCCATCTACATCAAAACACTACTTATAGGTGCCCCAGCAGCAGCTGGCTTCCAACAAAGGCTGAGCTTTCACTCACGCTCTTAGAAACACGCAGCCAGCAACTTGTCAGGCTTGGGGAACCGGGCCAGCGGGTGGTGGTGGTAGGAAGGAAAGAGGTGGTGAGGGGTTGGCGGTATCCTTTCCCCCTAGATTCTCTCTTCTGCTTTGCAGCTCCCGCGAAGCAGGGCGCAGGCCTAGGGGTGGGGGTCTGGCTGGTCGGCTCTAAAAATATGTCGGAAACTGCACAGTCGAGCCGGTAGCAAGAAACGGCAGCGTTTGTCTCTGAGAAGGACTTGGGTGTGAGTGACAGGACGTACGAAAGGGATGAAACGCCCTCGCCTCACCCCCGGGTCAATTTGCACGGCCAGGTGAAAAGTCCCGCCGAGGAGAGGGACAGGGGTCGAGAGGCAAATACTAAGGCGAGGAACGACCAGAGGCCCTTCGGGCACCACCTTGCAGGGGCAGGGAGGCTGCAGTCACCGCCCTCGGAAGTGATCTCCCCTGCCCTAAAAAAACCTAAATAATCTCCGCCATTACGTGAGGACAGGGCAGAGATGGGAGGCGGCCACGCGCGCCAGGCGAATGCGCGCTCCCATTGTCCCGCCTCCTGGCGCCCGCTCATTGGACAGAGGGAGCGCGCCCGGGGAGAACGCGCCCCAGCAGCGCGTACGTGCTCCGGGTGGAAACTGGCGCCGGCGCCCGCGGCGTTCCGCGGGCGGAGGAGAGGGGAGGGAGGAGGTGACGAGGCTGTGCGCCGGCCGCTCCTCCCCACCCCCAGCCTCGGCCCTGAACGGGCTGGATGGGCAAGTCGGGCGCAATGGCTCTAGCCCGGGCGGCGGCGGCGGCGGTGGCAGGAGGCGGCGGCGCCTCTTCCTCCTCGCCCCGGCGCCGGCGGTGATCGGAGCGAGCGGCCGCGGTCCCCGATGAGACTGCTGGCGGGCTGGCTGTGCCTGAGCCTGGCGTCCGTGTGGCTGGCGCGGAGGATGTGGACGCTGCGGAGCCCGCTCACCCGCTCCCTGTACGTGAACATGACGAGCGGCCCGGGCGGGCCGACGGCGGCCGCGGGCGGCAGGAA